CGAATAGTGGGATTGACCGTCACATTATAACGCTCCCACGGCTTAAAGGGCGAGCATGTTTGGTGTAACTGGGATTCGAACCCGCGACCCTCAGATTTCGAGTCGAGTGCCGGGCCATAAAACCATAAGATGACGTCTATAATTTACCCATGCTACTTATAGGAAGTGTAAAAAAGTTGGTTGGACAAGATGAAAATCTACTATAGTTTCAAATGGAAGTATCTATTCTTACAGGTAACAACTAGCGGTAAGTACATATATCATTTCATACAATACTATCTCCTCTCCACTGAGTAGATGACTGATCTAGCATTGTTACTCAAATCGATCGATAATCATAAATGTTTGGAGACAATTGGTAACTCATTGTCGTGACTATTAGCAACGCAACTTTAACATGCATGTCAACTGCAAGCGTATACCTGGTCTACTGTGAAAGATCTGAATATGAGAACGTAACCGATAATCAGTGTTTGAAAACACTGTGAACACTTACCTTACGATTACAAGTGTCTGCAGACGTCTTATAAGCCAAGGTAAAAATGTGCTTATTTAATTTCAACATTTACTGAGAATATAAAAGTTTGTATTTGAGAGGAAATGTATTCTTCATTTGGTAAATGTTTCTCACTCAAGTTAAAGTTTTACAAAATTTGTTTATAAATACTCATTTTTCTTTTACATTGCAGCTATATTATTTAACGTGTCTATTCTATAAAGTGGCTTTGTGCGTGTTTCTAATGAACATTTTCAAACTTCTCACTGTCTGATCATCATAAAACGGGCAGAATTTCTTAAATATGCCTCAGAATTATGGTGTAACCTTTTACTTTATCCATTTTCATATTATTACAATTTTTACAGTCATTTCATCTTTTTGCCCGTTGTTATTGTCTTAGTTTCTACTTCCCAAACTCTGATATTTATAACATTATTAGAGGATCTTGAGTGTAGCTCAGAGGATTTCAGTTTTCCCTTTGCGCCTATTTGAACAAGTCTTCAATTACTTTCATGAAGTTGAAAACATTTCACTATAAAATAAAATACTGAAAAATGTAAGTTGTAAAAACAAATAATATATTTCATAAACAAAGTTATTCACTCAAAATAAAACTAATTTTTCTACGGCTTTTAAGGCTATTGAAATAAATGCCGTGCGTGGTGTAAGATATTTTTACCAGTATCTATATATATAATAACAGCGAGAAACGTAGTAAGCACATAATAATGGCTGAAGACGGCTTGAATGGGTAATGAAGAAAAACTTTAAAATAAGTTTAACATAACAGCAAATGTACAACATTTCGACAAGGTTTTATCATCATCAGGTAGTAAGCACATGCGTTCAAGTTCAACTGTTAAGTTTTCAATCTGATGCTTTTTTCAGACTTTAAGAATAGGGATTCTAGGCAATATCTGTACTTGAAAGTGTATGCTGCTAGGATACAGCTGAGAAAATGTTTCAGATCTAGCATGGTAATAAAGTTACCACATACAAGATACCACATGGTTGTTATATCACTGTATCAACGAGCAATCAAGTTAGAACTGTACTTTAACGTTAAGAATTCTATATTGACAACTGAGCAAGCTCAATGTTTACTAAAAAAACGAAGATATTCATTCATGAAACCTTGAACGAAGTTTGATGTGGGTCTTGAGGTAGTCTGTTTTATAATTAAGCTTAGAAAATAGCAAAGAGCGATAAAGTTAAGGATTATAGCTTCAAGCTAGTATAGTTATAAGTCACGGTTCATGCAAATTTAGCTTATTGTATAAGATACACTTTACCTTTAGCAGTATGCTATAAGGAATAAAGGATATTTTATAAATGAACAAAATAACCAGATATTTTAAGATTAGCATATTGATCTTCGCATTTTACAATGTTTTAGTGCATTATTGATAGTTGTAATCTGGTTTGTAAACATTTAACGTCATAAATATGTGGAAACACCATTTCTTTAAGTGTGTAATGATAATTTCATTTCAGTGGATAATTATACATATATGTAAAGCTCTACTTCATTGGTAGAAGTCGAAAAATCACCTTAAAAGTTTGTTTACTAATAACCTTTGCCACACAGAAGTGACCAAGTCTGTATTTTTTGTACATTTTATGTATATTGTCTAAGGAAAAATTTGTTTTTTTTGGTTTTTTTTCTTTAGCGCAAAGATGCATAAAGAACTATATATTTGCACTCTGATTACCGAGGAGAATTGAACCTCAGATTTTAGCATTGTAAGTCCTTAGGTATACCGTTGATCCACCGTTGTGTCAATAAGAATTATAATTTCGTTATTTTATAAAGCTATTACAAAATACAGTTTTCTAAGCAAGAGATACAAACAAAGCTTATCGTGGTAGCAACCGAAAACCAATCAGATATAATTGCTTTAAAATAGTGGTTGAGTAATTAATCTCAGGGCTTCTGACGTCAAAAATCGGTGTTCTATACCCGTGGTGGGCGCAGCACAGGTAGACCATCGTGTGGCTTTGTGCTTAAGAATCAAGAAACAAACAAACAAACAAATGCTTTAAAAATTTCGTCTCAAACTTGTCTATGAAGTAGCTTGACGATACCTACTTACACATTTAGCAGTGTATTCATGTCACTCTTGTCTTTGAGCCCCCTCCCCAGCAGCACAGCGGTATCTCTGCGGACTTACAACGCTAGAAACCGGGTTTCGATACCTGTGGTAGGCAGAGCACAGATAGTCCATTCTGTAGCTTTGTGCTTAACTTCAAACAAATAAACTTGTCTTTGAAGTAGCTGACGATACTATTTACAAACTTAGCAGTGTATTCACGTCACACTTGTTTTTGAAGTAAATGACGATACGTACATACAAACTTAGCAGTGTATTCACATCACACTTGTTTTTGAAGTAAATGACGATACGTACATACAAACTTAGCAGTGTATTCACGTCACACTCGTTTTTGAAGTAAATGACGATACGTACATACAAACTTAGCAGTGTATTCACGTCACACTCGTTTTTGAAGTAAATGACGATACGTACATACAAACTTAGCATTTTTAAGTTGGGTTATCAATTTAACCTGTCATTCACGTTAGATGAGTTTATAATCTTAGTATCATACCGATTTAAACATAATTTAGAAACAAACAGGAACTAAATATCGCAGATTTTTCTTGAAAAATGTGTTTGTACAGAATTATCTTAGCACATAAAGCATCGTACTTTGAAACATAGAAATTATTAAAATAAATTATTTGAACTTTAACAAGTTAAAACAATATCGAATCTAGTGTTATTTTTTTTTCTAACCTCTTATAACATTTCAATCAGTTTGCTTGAAAATAACAACTTATTTTAACGGTATGAGTTTGGCAGCATCAGTTCTAGAGAAAGTCAATATTTTCAAGTAATATATTTGTTTTATTTCTGCTCCTAATGATTTCATTGTTTTCCTGAGAAATCGAGAGATATTTTTATGGTTCCAAATTAATTCTTAAGCAGCCTATGTACAGTATAGCAAAAATTACTTATAGCCACGTGGGTAATCTGTTTTGGCCCGAAAAAAAAACACCATTGTAAAGATTTTTTATGTGTATACTTTTTTATTTCTTATATTTCCGACAACTATAATATTTCTTTTTTGTTCTCGAGAATGCTGTAGCCAACTACCTACATTTTTTTTTCCGAGCACAATATGTTACCAAAAACATGACTATTTTTTACATCCATCAGATGGATCACTGCATTTCCGAGAATCATGAAACGTGTCCTCTTGTTGAATGTGAGAATTGCGCTTGGTATCCGTCTCATGAAACACTTCATGTCTTCTCACTTTTATCATCTGTTGCTGTTATGTTACTTTTGATTGAAAATCGTAAGTCGAAGGTATATAAGTATATCTGGAGAAACACCTTCAAGACTACATGTGTAGATTATTTTCAACAAATTCTTGAGTTTCTAAATTATTAGTTGAATATCACTAGAAAATAATCTATCCATCTTCTTATGGTATCTCCCTTAGGAACGGAATCGACGACACCACGACCGGATCAGCATCTGATCTCGCTAACTCCACCAGTCGGGTGGCGCCTGCTCTCTAGTCTCTTTCTTTCCTAGTGGTTGGTTGCCCGGATGCGAAGTCGCTTCAAGACAGGTAAGACCATCAGGAACAACTAGCTGATGGCGGAAAAACTGTTGAAGAACACTTCGTTCTTTTAGTGTTTTTTTCGTCTGCGTTTTAGTCGTGTTCATGCCTGTAACCGGCGGGCACTGCCCTGAACAAACACGAGGCTCCGGCTCGAATGGATGAGACCCTTCCTACAGTTCATTCGCCTTGCTTCAGTTGGAGCCGGCGTGATCTACGGGCGCTTGAGCCCGTGGCGTGCGGCACGCTGGCCCACTTGATGAGTAGGGGCACGTGGCCCCTGACAGCCGCTGTCTCCGACCACCTTAGCATTCGCCATGCCCCAGTTTTCCGTGCATCTTCTCCGTGTACTGACTCCACTCACCGCCGTTATGTCATTAGTTGCCCAGGGAATAGTGCTCTGCTCTAACGCTTGGATCCACAGCGAAGAACTCATGCCAAATCCATTTTATAACGGCACCGGGGACAAAGAGTTCCTGTCCAAATTCACAGTGTCCGGGCTCTGGAGCCTGTGTTACAACGATCGTAAGTAACTGTTCCGCTGTAAAGGAACACAGGTTTATGCTTCAACTTTTTTTTATTAGTTCTGGCATGATATTCCTATAAGCTTTGCCTATTATGTACTGAAACACTGACTATATCAATTTCATGAAAGTTTTTCTATTGTATTTAAAGATATATAATTTTTATTATATTATTCGAACGCTCAGTGTAATTATGTATATATATGAGAGAAACCAAAAAATTGTCATTGGTGTTATATGATTCAGCTTTAACTTTTAATTTAGATAATGAGAAAGTGTGATACCTATTTATATACCTGGTCCTACAAACACAGACGTAGAATCAGAAGATAAACATTTGTTTTCCTTTTCAAACTTTAAACGTTCCGCAGCTATTAATTAAGATAAACCTAATACTTTTGCGAAAACACTCATGAAAAACAGATGTGATCGTATGTGTTACGTCAAAGAAACCGATTTACGTTGGATTGATTTTTGTTCCTATTGCTTGCTTTAAGAATATTGCTGTAAAAATCCTTTCTGATAGTATTTTATAAAATCTATTTTTATAGAGGAAAGGGAAAACTAGATGAAAAAGTTCTGTGGTATTTTATTTAAAAAATAATACATCTACAAGTGATTCAGGACATTATTTTCACGTCGTGCTCCTACAAAGAAGAGATAATTTTTTTTTAAAGATTTGAAGTATATATTAGAACTTAGTCATCCTATTTGATAACATTACATATTCAGGGATTTGATAATAATTACTTACATTTATCTATTTTTAAGAATGTTTTACCATAATAATATCAACTTAAGTTAGGCTGTGCATAGACATTTCTACAACAACACATTTATAACATATAAAGAACTCTAAGATGCACTTAGTAATATTATACATAATATTATTTACTTTCACTGTTTGATTTATTGGCTGAAATATTAAAATCTTGTTCAATACCGGTGATGCTCAGAAAAAGTACTTTTTAGCTTTTTAGATATGTTATCAAACGCTTGTATATATAAGGCTTTCGTAACGTTTAGATACAAGCTTTGGAGTCAGTTAGAATCTTGAGGCACTCCTTGTCTACGTGTTGATATCGATACAAGTAATGTCTAGCCTGTGGTGTACTGCACGACGCCATTATAGAATACTCCATACCGCTTTGACTGTTACAGACTGTTTCACAAATAAGGCTGAGATTTTCAGAATGGTATCATAACTATAATGCACCATAGATTTTTTTTTTATATTTTTGCTCTGAAGTTTGATCTTTTATAGTTATTAAAACTAAGAAAAAATACTTGCAAATATAAGTTGTTTTTCTGTCAATACCTACAAAATATGGACCAATACGTGCGTTGACATCTAATTATTGTAATTAAAAAAAAATGCCAAAATTGTATCCAATGTTATAATAAAATAACATCTTAAACCATTGAACTGTGCTCTATTTAAAGGCTGTTAATAGCCAGTAACTCTTACATGCCTTTACTATTTTTCTTGGCGGTTTTAGTTATGATTAAAGACCTATGTCAATAGTGAGGATATTACACAATAAAAATTACTCCAATACAAATATCTTAGAAGATATTTCAGAAAATTTCTAAAAACCAACATTTTCCACATATTGCTTGTAAATGATACCAAACATTTTATTTAAAATTTGTGACTTATAATTCCAGCTTCACGTGTTATAACGTTAACTACATGCAAATTCTAAGCCCATTTGTTTGAAGTTAAGTACAAAGCTACACAATGGGCTATCTGTGCTCTGCCCATCACAGGTATCGAAATCCGGTTTCTAGCGTTGTCAGTCCGCAGACATTCACTGTGCCACTGGGAGGGAGGGCATTTTATAGGGGTAAAAATAACAACGCAGGCTGTTTTACTAAAATCTGAATAACTCGTTTATATTCAGTTATGTAGTTCTTGTTTTGTTTTAAATAGACACATCGATTTGAATCTGATCACAATATTTTCTGGTTTCCATAGTTACTTATTTCTCTAATCTCAATCTCATTACAATGACAAAAGAGCAAAACCGACTTTTAATTAATGGCTGACTAAGACCCGGAAGCGGTCTGTCGTGTGATCTTCATTAAAAGAGAGCTCAAAGCCCGGTTCCGTCCTGTGTATCTAGCAAGTATGTTGATTATTCTTAGAATAAATGTAATACTATACAAATGGTGAGCTCAATAAGTTCATGCTGCTAAATAAAAGTAAAAACTAAAAGCCATTCAAAAATACTATTCTTATTCGAACATATTCGAGGAAAAAATGTTACAAACATACCTTCTTTTCGTGTTTAATATAAAACTAAAATAAGCACATTAAATACTTATCCTACTCATTTTCTACAGATTCGCGTAGAAAAGGCAACAATTATGATATACTTTTCATTCACAACTAGCGTTTTAAACTTCAGCTGTTCTTCTTGTAAAGTGAATTAAATAGAAAATAACAAATACATATATAATATGGTATACAAACTAGCATTAAAATATAGAATTATCACAAAAAGTAGTCAGTCTCAAGTGGTGGGCTTGTTATATTATGATTTTAGCAGTAAAACGTCTGTTTTGGTGGTTTTGAAATTTAAGAATATAAAAAATCGTAAAATAAATTTAAAATACGATTAGCTGACATTAAAAGATAACATTGTTATTAGCTGGTTTTCAATTGTGAAGTTTTTAGGTGTGATATGGTATTTTTTTGATAAACGGATTTTTACATGTTCAGACTGAAAGTATAAAATACAGCATTGATATCAAAAAGATGTTGGGAAGATTTACAAAAGTGATTCGCAAAAAATTACATTTTACCGAGCCTGTTTACTATTCTTAATTATTTGTATAATTTTTATCAAGCAAATATAGTAAAGTTTGAAATAAAGATAAGGCTAAGTATCATAAGTATGTTTCAATTTGTCTAAATAACTATATTTATAATAATATTTCTGTTTTATAATCTATTTTGCAGTCCGCTTTTAGTCATTTAGAGAAAAAATGTGTTTATAATATTCAACATATTTTTTTTACATACATTGTTTGTTTGTAATTAAGCAGAAAGCTACACAATGGGCTATCTGTGCTCTGCCCACCATATGTATCGAAACCCGGATTCTAGCGTTGTAAGTTCGCAGACATGCCGCTGTGCCACTGGGGGGCTTTTTACAGACATTATTGTTAGACATGACTTTTAGTAAAATATGAAAACTGACTGTGATGGTTCCTTTGACCTAATGTCAGCTACACGTTAACACGTGAATGGTCAAATATCTATTTTCAAACATTAGCCATCAAATCGGCCATAAGTTAACTCTTAGACAACGGCTACTACTGGTGAGACCCATATATTTTATGTTTGCCCTGTCATAGCACCTCGTGGAAAGATGTGGACAACAACAACAATGGGTGAAACCAACTATTCCCTAGGAAACCCTTACAGCAATTAATTTGATTAACTTAATGTTTATTATACATTTGTTTAGTGTTTTAAGTGACGTTATTAAGGATCTTGTAATGAGCACATTGTGGCACATAAGTAATTCAGAAAATATGTATTTAAAAGCCTCTTCTTTTAACTGGAATATGAAGGAGAACTAAAGGTTCGCATTGCTCGTAATTAACACATGGAGTTTATCCTTTAGTTGAATTAATTATTTATAAAAAAATCACTTAAAACATATTTTTAAACTATCTATAAATTGTTGCAGCAAACAGCTAGACCACCTAGAATGGTGAGCTAAAGATGTTGCTGATAGCCTGAGGGTGGACTCTCAGTTTTAATTGAGCTTAAGACAATTTTCCTGTTAGTTCTTTTTTCTTTCATAAAGCCATTAAGTTGAACAGCTTAAAGAAGCATAATAAGCAGAGTTCAGTATAACTTGATGATATGTTTGTATTTCCAAAAAAAACTTTCGATTCTTCAAATGCATCACCTCTGGCATGTTTTAGAATAGAGTACTTGTAGTTATTTGCAGAATAGAGGTTTATCAGTAATTGAAGGAATCTGAAAAAGTTGTGAAAAGGAATAAAAATGAATTCATTGATAAGTCGCTCTTAAACGTATATTCTCAAACCAAGACTATCACATCAGTAATTGAAGGAATCTGTAAAAGTTATTGATTGCTAAAAAGTACATATAATTAAATAATATAAATATTTTAAGAACCTTTTACATTTTTATATTTAGTTTGATAATATTAATAGATTTAGTCAGGCATTTTGATAATTGGCTTCAACCTAACCTGCTAACGAGAAGGTTATAAAAATGTTGAAATTTGCATTTACATGTTTCTGTTTTGTTTGTTGTCATATGTATACATATTAACCTTTGTTTGTTAAACATAGTCTGTAATCAACAAATTAACATCTTATAAAGTTCTTTGATTTAATTCACTGTGGATCAAATGAACTGGAAATGATGCTTTCTATTTCAAGTTTACAACTTTTGACATTTCATTTAGTGTTTCTCGATTTTTAGCAAAATGGCAAAGTGATTTTAAAAGCTCGATTTTGACCTAAACTGAAGAGCTGTTTTTAAAATAAATTTGTACTCAAGAGATATAAAAGTATTTTTTTTCTTTTTTGCTTACATGATCACATTTAGAAGTGTGCTTTCGATGCTATATCTATCTACCCTTAAATAGCATCGTGATAGTAAAGTGGAAAACAAATCGTGCTATTATTGTGATATTTTCTGTTTATATATTGGAAAGATCATATTCTCACACAACAACTAAAATATTTCATTTACTTCCGCAAAGTTTCGGTTTTATTCGCCTTTCGCGTCAAAATGGACATGCATGTAAATACATACACATATTAGTGTATATGTGCGCTTGCGTGTGTAAATATTATAAGGTATAGTACTGTGAATGATATATACCAATAAATACTTATGTATCTTCAATATTCACAAAAATTAAAGGATGATGAGGTTTGTTTACATTTGTATCTTTTTATTTTGCCTTTTTTTTCACATTTGACATGCTTATTGTAAATTATTACACA